GACCTGCCCCACCTGCTGGATGGGAACGTCGGGGTAGTCCTCCGCCCGGCACTCGATCTCCTTTGGACGCTGGCAGACGTGCTTCCCGGCGGCCCGGATGTGCTGGTAGGTTTCGAAGTCTCCCTGGTTGGGCCCGGCGGAGGGGAAGTCGACGTCGAACCATTCGCTCCAGGTGCACACTTCTGGTTCACAGGGTTTTGTTACCGTAGTAGTGGTGGTTGTCTGGGTTCCAGTGGTTTTTGTAGTTGTTTTTGTGAAGTGTTTTGTCGTAGTGGCAGTAGTTGTTTCTTTTTGAGTTTGTGTTGTTGGTTTTGTTGTATTTTTGGTAATAATATAATCTGTTTGTGGTTGATATGTTTCTGGTGGTGTTGTCTTGTGTTTTGTTATCAAGTGTGGAGTTGTTGATACTTCTGTGGATGTTGTACTGAATCGTGTTGAAGAAAGTGTAGTTGGTTCTGTTGTTTTTGCAGTACTAATACTTTCAGTGGTTGTTTGGCATGGTACTGTTATATTTTCACAGCATTTAAATCGTAGTTCATAATTATAGCAAATAGGCGGCAATTGGTCTTTATTGTAACATTTCAAGCCTTCTTCTGTATTGCACAGGATGTTTTGCTCCAGCAGAGGATATGGTGTGTTAGGAAACCTCACTGCTCTGCATTCCACATCCCTTCTGTTAGCACAGACTTTGTATCCTTTTTTTTTAATGTTCTGAATGGTGTCGAAATCTCCATCATCATAACCAGACCCTGGATAACTGACATCATACCATCTGGACCAGTAACATTCTTCTTTAAAGCAAAGAGAAGGTGTTGAAGGAAAGGTGGTGACCGGTCTTGTCATTATGGTTGTGGTTGTTGTTTCTTCAGATGTTGAATGTATCAATGTTGTACTTTCAGAAGTTGTAGAGACTGGATATGTTGAAGAAGAGCATGGTACAAAAACACAGCATAGGACTCTGATCTCATAGTTGTTGCACATTGTTGAAATTTGGTCTTTGTTGTAACATATAAGCCCAGCTGTTGTACTGCATTCTACTTTTTGGCCAAGGTCTTTCAGTGGTATATCAGGGAATTTTTCTGCTCTGCATTGAACATCCCGTGGAGCTTCACAAACTTCATAACCTTTAGCTCTTAAATCATTGAAGGTTTCAAAATCTCCACCGTCATAACCAGGGGTTTGCAGACTGCCATCATACCATTCCGACCACTCACAGACTTCATGAACACATACTGATGTGGTTGGTGACACTGCAAAGGATAAAAGGAAGAGACCATGAAACTTAAAATAAATTCCTGTAGATATGATCTTTTCATGTTATTTTGAATGGGCGAACAATTTTCCTAGTGTTATTTTTCTTGCATTGTGATCCTGTAGGGCATCAGTTTAGCATACTTTTAATTTAGTACGATTAATATTAATTTAATAGGATGTAATTTAATGTGGTGTTTCAGAAGCGGATTTGTTTTCTATGTTTATTTCCTTGTGAGGTTGTATTAATTTATTCATGCTGTGCGTGTGGGCATCATTTTGTAGCTAAATTTTACTCACTAATAAACAGAATACACTCTTATGTCCTATAAAGAATTTACCTGTGGAAGTACTGGCAGGTGGTGTAGTGCTGAAATGAAATGTTGTTGCTGTTGTGGGTGATGTTGAGATTGGACACTCATAGATAATCCTTTCAAGTGTTCCATTGGGACCACAGATTGCAACAATACACCCTCCTGTTCCATCTGTAGTGTTGTAGACCACATCTTTGTAGTTATATTTCTGTCCCTCATAGAAGCAGACACATTCTGTAAATCAAAATAGGATGTTATTCCTTGCTATCTGAAACACAGAACAGAATACCTTAAATGCATACTAATCATATAAAAACAACTTTGTCAACATACCATGTTCGTCATATCTGCATTCTTTGCCGTGAATTGTACATTCACTGGAAAAGAGAAAAATTGAGATTATCAATGTAAATATATCAGTTCATGACATAATTTTTTTGTTTCAGCTTTTTTCTATCAGTCTATTCATTGTGTGTTTAAATGTAGAATGCTCCTATCTTCTCTGAGTTAGAGCTTCAATTCTGCTGTACAAATTCAGGCTAGGTTATCTTCATGCAGTTCTCTGGCAAGAAAGATAACTCTTCTGTGCCAGCCCATGAAACATGCAGCAACCTTATCAGTGCTTTTGGGAGCTGAGCAAAGGTGTGAACAAGGGTCATCTGAGATGTTCTCATCACTCTGATAGGTTTACTTATTTTTTGGAAGGGAAAGTGCAGTAAATGTATCATTTACATTCATAAGGATATATACAAAGGATCACTGTATCATGGATGTTGAAGTAATCTACACAGCAAATTTGCATCAGACTTCCAAAAGATGCAAGAATGCATTCTAGTTTTAAATGGAATTTGTCTATTATCTTTTAATAACTGAATCTTGATGTACTTATTTACAGTGTCTAAGGGCATCTATACATTGAATAAACTTAAATAAATATAAATATTTACTTATTACTTCGGGTTTAGTGCTGTTAATGGCCTAGACGATGTAGACAAAGATGTCTATGAACTGCAAAACATGCCAAAGAAGTTGGGTTTGCTCAAATGGGCTTTGTGTTAAGATTTTTTGCTATTTGCATTGCACTGCTTACTGTATTGAAGCATAGCTACTTTAAAGGTGTATTAAGACAATTGTTAACTGCTTAACAACTGATTCTGCTAACTTTGTACTATTTTATAGAAGGCTTAGCAGCACATGTCGCAACTTGCCATCAGTAATGTGTGGGAATACTTGCAACTATGGGACAGTTGCAACTATGCAAGTACCAGTGAAATAGCAGAAACAAGCTCAAAACCACGTATATGAGTTGGCTGCTAAGTTCTAGAGAACTTCATACAATGAGTTTAGGGATATCTTAATACAAATTCTAGGACTATTCCTTAACTATTGTTATTTTAATTTATTTTTATTTGATTTAATAATGATCATAATAATTTTAAAGCATTTTAATAAATATACAGACTAAGTAGTAAATTAATCTCTCAATGGTGAAATGTTTCACCATGGTATCATTTAAGTTCCTGGGAAGGGAAGAGAATTAGACATTATTCATCAGCCTCTGACTAGCCTGCTTCCTGTTGGTAAACAACAAGTTTAATGTTTGATAAATTATGTTCCACAACTTTAAACTGAATTTTTAAAAATCTTTACTAATCTTACCATGATTCACAATTCTGCTTTGGAGGCATCTCCATTCCTGGTTTGTAGTTTTTCCCATTTTCATAACAACCACAATTAGAAACACAGGTCATGGTTTCTTCATCAAAATAGGGCTTATTTTTTGGACAGTGTGGATAGCAGCCTGCAATAAGAAGAGTCAAGTTGAAACTAGCCCTTTCACAAGTAGAATTAACTCTAAACTCATATCTGCTTTCCCAAAATTGTCCCATGTACTAAGTGGAATTTCAGACCCTCTTACTGCTATTTTGATTGCATATTAAGCTTTGATGCATTTTGTCCTCATTTCACTCCAAACAAGTATGATCCATTAGGTAGTAAGATACTAAATTAGAAAATCTCTTCTTATAATTTCTGCTACAAGCATGTCATACACTGAGTAATCTAAATTTTGTTAATCATACTGCATTTTAAGCTTTTATAACTAGAACAAGATACATATTATGATGTTTACCTTCCAAACCTCTCATCTCATGAAGGCAGTTCCCACTTGGATTGTTGCAGGTCTTCATACAAGGGGCTCCACATGGTTTGTAGTGCCACTCACATTCCCCTTGCGGGTTGTAGTAATCACAGAACAGAGCTAGAAGAAGGGGAAATGTCAGCAAAATACCTTTGATCTTTCAGCTCTATAGTCTCTCAGTTTCGCTGGGTAAAAACCCCATGGGATCAGCAAAGTCACGTAGGTGGTGAACAGTATATTGTCTTATTGCTAATTTGATAAAATTGTTATATTTCTACCACCTTTTGACATAAATAAATTTATAATACATAGAACAGAATTACACATTAAACAAGAAAAATCAGTTGATTAAATCACTGATTTTAGATAGTATGCACTAGTATTTATTTACATGGAGCCTGCTATAGACAGGTGAGAGTGTAATATAATACTATAGTTCACTAGTTGCGTATCATGATTGACAAGTTAATCAGACATTAATCGCACCACTTGTAAAGCTACTATCTGTGGTTTCATTTTAGTAGGATAGGTTGTCTTCCTGTGATTTACCCAGATTTCTTTGTTGGGGTTTTTCTGGTTGTTTTTTAAAGAATACAACAGTGCCTCTTACAAATACAATTTTGTCTTTCGTTTTTTCCTACTTTTTTTTCTTTTTTTTTTTCTGTTTTCTTTCCCTCTGGACCCCTCCCAAAGGTAGTAGGTCGAAACTTACGACATATGGATGGGGTTCTCCATGAAATGCAAATGTCCAGCTCATTGCATGCTTGAGCATAGGCAGCTACTGCTGTACAGAAACATTCACAGTCTCCTCCAGTGTCGCAGGCACAAGCATCATCCACGCATGCTTGATAATATTCGTTTGGTTCAACCTGATGGAGAAAACATTTATGTTTTCATGCCCTTGTCCCGTTTGCACTGTCCTAAAACAGCTGAATAAAATATCTGAAACTGACAGCTGTATGTGAGGAAGCTAAGAAAGGAAGAAACCATGAGAATGCTTTGAAAAAATCAGGAGGAAAATGTAGACTAAAGCTATTGCTACTAAGCTGTAACACTAAGAACTGTGTGATGTTGAAGGTACAATTGCAGAATACTGTTAATTACTACAAGCTAGCACACAGTCAGGTGTGTGCTGATATTTATATTAGTAGAAAATGATGCCATTAGAAAATAAGCATATCCTGAAATTTATCTATGATTTGTCCTTCTATTAAAAACAAACAAACAAGAACAACCAATCCAAACTGTCAATTTCTTTAGTGTACTTGTTCAAGCCTAAAGCTGAGAAAACGAAAGTGAAAGTACTTTCGTGAAAATACTTTCCGTGCAATCTCCATAGAACTTGGTCTGAGCTCACTTTGTAAAGCATGAAAAAGCGTATTTTAGGTGTTTGTGTTTGGGGGTTTTTTTATTTGTTTGTTTGGGTTTTTTTTCATCTCACATAAGAATTGATGTAATCTTTGTCTCAAGAGAATTTAAGACTAAAGTTTTTGTCATACCTGGGAGTGACACTTTGCAAACACTTCACTGGTAATGATGCTGCATTGCTTCTGTGCCCAGGCTTTCCTGTATGGGTTTGCAGTGCATGGATCCTTCGTACGATTGGCATTTGGGCAACTAGAAGACACTTTCCAGCTATTGGCAAACTCCAGCACATTTCCTACCACAGACTGACTGCGAGTAGTGAAGTCATTATTTCCATTCCCATCATAGTTTCCACAAAGTCCACAAACATGTCCCTGCATCAGGATAAATACACAAAAATCACAAAAATAATAAGGTACAGTTTCTCAGTATCTGTGAATAACAGACCTCAGAATGAATCTTATTTAAGATTATCTGTGCCTCTTAAGTAACAGTGTTGGAAATTTTCATAAAATGCCTTTCATAAAGAGATTATTTCTGACTTGTTGCTAGGAAGGATAAACAAAGATAGGAAGAACAGTAGACTCATGGGATTTGTTCTTAAGTACTGAGCTATTTAGTTTTAGCTGATCATGAACGTATCTCTTCTGTGAGGTCTTTTCATGAGAAAAGCTACTGATGTAGTTGCTGTTATGCCGTTGTTGAATAATGTAATGTAAGGAATATGCATAGTACACAATCTGATTCAAGACAGCAAGGATAATAATACGCAATTGCTGCTCTTAAAATCTTTCATGTACAGCCTAAATTTCCACACTTTTTCTTTGAGAGATAATATGGAAGTGTTTCAGAATTAATTTTATCAAGGTTTTTGAAGTGTACCTGAAAGCTGGGACTAAGTTTGATGAATATACTGGTCTTCTTGTCCCACATGAGTATCAGACCAGCAGTGGTGTCAACTACCAGGTAGATACCCATGGAACGGATTTGGAATGGCATTTTTCCTCCAGGTGTCCTCTGGATGACATCAGAGTGTCCATCACTGAGTACCAGCTCATAGTTCTAAGACAGGAAAAGAAAAAGTTAGAGGCTAATTAAAAAAAGTTATTTTGGTACAGATTTATCTGTTGCCACTAACTAATTGAAATAATAACTATTATCATCAAAAGGATTCTATTCAACAGCCTCACATTAAGAAATTTTAGAGTTTCCTTCTTTGCTTTCTCTAGCAGAGAGCAGAGTCATTAGCAGTGAGTAAAGAAGTCTAGTAACATTTTCACTGTCTTGGAGGACACTTCTGCAATGCAGTCTATCTGGCATAGACTTCCACCCTTCTGGCATAACTTAAAGAAAATACTCACCCCCAAGAAAACTTTAATAGACTTAGAGCAGGTGGTTCCTGTAGTGCCACATGGAATGTTCTCAGTGATGACTCTGAAGGTTCCCTGATTCATAGCTTGTTGACCACAATAGTTCTGAAACAGAGGAATGGTATTCAATATTAACTCTGCTACATGGTCATAAGTAAAATGCAAGGTACTTAATGCAAAAATCTGAGAAGGACTCTGTTACCTGGACCAGAACATATTCACAGTCTCCTTCAAAATCAAAACGTTTGCCATCAAAGGTGGTATAATGCCCATCTCCATAAACAGAACACGTTTCCAGGCAGGGTTCCTCAGAGCAATGCCATTTTCTGTTTCTACATGTGCTACATAAGACAAAAAGCACTCAAAATGTAAAAGCTATACATACACCCAATATAGGTACATTCCTGCATTTTATAATGTGTTAAGACTCTAATGAAAAAATAAAGTTTGCTTAGTCTCAGAAATGCAGCACAGCTCAAGAACTTTTGGGATTTAGCCAAAGACTGTTACTTAATGATGTAGTGAATAATTTGGATAAGAAAACATTAACTCTTTCACATTTCTAAATCTTGCTGGATGTACTGAAATGTAGGGATTTCCTGGGAAGAAAAAAAAGATTTTTTGACTTGAATGAGTATGACAGCCTCCAAACCATAGTGTTCGTCTGACCACTTGCAATTTCTGGGCTGTATACCATTGAGAAAAACAGACAGAGCTTGCTTTTTAGGCACTAAGGGGATCATTTTATGTAGGATTCCTTTTTATAAATCTTGATGCTGTTAGAGTGAAATGCTGTTCACTCATATGTTACTTCCCTAGAGCTTGAAGGAAATGTTATTTTTCAATATGCTCTTACCAGTTGTTACAGCCAACTCTGATTGATTCTCCTGGATTGTAGGAATTCCCATTGTGAATACATGGACAGTCTTCTGGAGCTATACAGCCTCCTTTGCCATCTAGCACTCGATCATGAGGACATACACAGCCAGAGACACAGTGAGTTCTGTACTGTAAGAACCATAGAGAAAACATGTCTTGAAACATTTCCCTCTTGGAAGAGTCCAGCGGCAGCTGGTTATTATAAAAGAGATCTAGTTTAATGTGCTCTCAACTAATTATAAAGACTCTATACTTACACATTCCATATCTAGAGTCTGACAGCTCTTCTGGCATCCTGCTCCTACCACATCTCCAGTGGCGTTACCACAGTCAATATAAACCATGGGAGGTACACAGACTGAAAGAGAGAAAAGCCATGAGAAATATGACAGAAGCCATGCATTTGTATCTTTGTGTTTCCTTAATACAGACTGAAGAAAAATGAGAGCAGACTCCTTTGTGACATATGGGTACCTTAAAATGATATGTTTGACCAGAAAGAGAAACTGATTATTGTTTTGAAATCATATTTATCTGCTTTTTGTGCTTATGCTTGGACTAATCCATTAAATTAACATTTAGTTAGCCTCGTGAAACACCTTTTAGAGAAACAAACCAAGAAAACAAAGATCTTCAATTACTTTGTTTGTGTTTTATTTTTGGCTTTTACTACTTTCAGTTAAAATGTGGATGGTTTTCCCCTCACATTCAGTGAGGTGACCTTGTACTCTTTTCTACTGGGTAACCCAGGGGGTTATAACTTATTTCAGCCATCTGAAAGGTAAGAAAGTATTGATTTATATTTTGGGAATATCCTCTACATTACAGAAGTCCTCAATTAATTTTCTTGATTGATTTCCTACTTTTACAATTTGCATCATTATGACAAAAGAGAACTGAAGAGGATGAAGATGGAAAAGGAGAATTGAAGAAAATCTTAAGGAATAAACTGATATGTTACCTGGTTCAGGTTTCTCTCCAATGCAGCTCAGTTTTCCATAGGTGCAAGTGCTATTAAAAAAAAAAAAAAAAAAAAAGTAATGGATATGTTTAAACATTTTTGGTCAATTTTCAGCCTGTTTCCTAGTGAATTTGAAATAATGAAAAATTATTGTGTGATAAAACAGATAAAACATGTCCTTTACCAAAATATTTTTTCTGTTCAAAAATATTTCATGTTAGAGCAGAAAAAAATACAAGTGTATTCTATATAAAGGAAGTGTTTAGTCTGTCTATTTGTCTGGTTTAAAAAATGTCCTTCAGGACAATTCAGATTCCATTCATAAAGGGAATAATCTGCAACGTTATTATCAAGTATCTTTCACCATAGAACAAGTCTTTTACAGTCATAGATAAGAAAAGTATGTGTTGTGGGGAAGGAGACAGGAAGGGAGGCAGAGAGAAAGGGACTGGGTAGGAGTTTGGCTGTTAGCAAAGGCTAACCTACCCCAGTATGTTTTGTTCAATTCCTGCACAATCTTCCAAACATGGGTAGCCCTAACAATTTTTAGGAATATGTGATTTTTTAATTGAAATTATTAGGGAAAAGGGTGCATTTGATTTGATTTCATAACGTATATATGATTTCATGATTGGACATAAGCAATCTCATTTTTCTCTTTACGAATCTCTTACCAGACAACACCATTATCATGAATAACTTCTCCGGAAGACAGAGGCATTCCTTTGTAGTAACAAGGACAGCTAGATGCAGGCACACATTTGCCAGTTTCATCCATGTATGTTCCATTTATGCAGGTGCAACCGTCAACTGGGACAAACTTAATGCTGCATGTGACATCAGGCTCACTCAGAGACCGGCAGGTGGGTTGACAGGTATCGACATTGTAAGTGTACTTCAAAGATTTCGGACACAAGGTGGTGTATTTTGCTTGAAAGTAAAAAAGTGAGTTACATTTGTAGTTCATTTAAGAATCAATGTAGATATAAGTGAAGTATTTGAGATAAAATATACATGATAAACATGGCAATGTATATACAGATGCTTTACTGATATCCTCAATAATTTAATTTTTTTTTTTTACTGCCGGAGCAGAATTTTCCCCTATAAATGCGTCACAAATACAAATATTTTTTCCAAATTAAAAAGAGGACAAAGTTCAACTGTATTAATGCATAGTATGTTTCTTCCTCATTGCTATTTTTACTTTTTTTTTTTTCAAAGTAAATCAAGAAACACCTTACTTACTTTATTCCTATTGCAAGGATATGGCTCTCCACGTTACTTCTGCTGGTTCTGAGCAAGTAATCTAACAAAGCCTCTTCTTTCTATTTCTAACTGTTTATTGCTTGTCTTTTATGATATTCCTTTCCTCCTCAACTTCTTCAAAGTCAATGCTATGCTTAAAACCCAGTTTAACACAATTTACTGTGGGAATCCCTGAGAGCTGCTCTGTAAGGACTTCTGGGTGATCATTTTCAAAAGGCAAAGGAATGTAAAACTTACTGCAGGCTTTGCTTCTCCATCCAGGGAGGAGAACTCCTTTAGCAGCACAGGCTCTGACATAGCTTGAGAGGGCAGCACACATGCAGTCCTCACTCTTCTCACAGTTACATGTGTCAAACATGCAGTTCTAGGAACAGGGGATGACATATGATCATCAGATTGTCATGTCAAAGCCACTGTGCTCTATAGAGTGTTACATTTGTTAGAGGTTAAAATGAGTGTAATCCACAAGTGTAAGTAAACATATGCCTATTCTTCATTGAGCACTTTCAAAGAAGATTCTTTGCATGAAGAAAGAGTAATTAGAGGTCTACAATTTTGAACTCTTTTTTTCATTTTCTTTTTTTTTTTTTATTTTTCAAGTGTTGGTAGATTTTCCAACTACATCCAGTTTTTCCCCACTGTGCCATAGATATTTAGAATAAATAGAGAGTATATGATGCCACCCAGCTTTGGGAGCTTAGGCTTAAGAGCCTGGGCTCTCTGCACAAGAGGAACAAAGAAAACCAGTTATTTAATGTGTTTCTGTGCAGGGCAGGGATACTATAATATTGTAATTCCAGAAGATGTTTGCTGAACATAATCTTATAAATTTGCAATAACAGGGAGATTTTGTAAAGTACCCAGGGACTCTGTTACAGAGCTTCATCACCTTGAATTCCTGGAATGTTTTTGTTCACATATCTAAATCTCTTTGCTGTTTCTTACACACATTGCTTGCCTTGTCCTTTACATATATGCAAAAGCCTTCTGAGAGCAGTTCAGAGAAACTAAAGTGCTGGTTAAGATTCTGACTAAAGCTTTCCTTCTACCTCAGGAGGGACAGGTTTTGTCCCTTGACCTCACAAGGAGTCCAAGGAGTCCAAGCTCCTAGCTTAATCTTTAAGTTCGTACCTAAAAATGCAGGAGGTGCAGGAGGAATATACCTGTAAATTTATCCTCCTGGGAATGAAGAGATAACTTTACAAAGGAGCAAATTTTATAAGAACGAATCCTTGGCTTGAAAAGAACTACCATGAATGCATATTCTCTCAATTGGCAAGTTACTCTCTCAGGTGTTAGTATCAGAAATCTGAGTCCTTTTCTCTTAAATGGGATAAAGTTAAGAGCCAAATACCTTCTGGTAAACTTCTGGATTCACTGTTGAATGACATTCAGCAAAAGGTCCCATAGTATCAGAGAGCAGTCCGCACCAGTGCTGAGCATACTGGTCTGTGAATTGAAAACATGGTAAGAGTTTCTATTGTACTTAATTTTCAGAACTCTTGTCTCAGTTTTACTATACTTCCTGCAGGGAGATTGCAGAAGCTTAACTTTACAATATAATTTAGCCCCACATTTGCTGAAACAGTCTTTTGCTTCCTGTAAAGAGAAATATGAACTCTTGATAAACTGAATGCTCTCTAATTTGTGGTAATTGTCATGGAATAAACTAAGACATCCATAACCGAATTTTGAAAAGAAAAGTTCACATTGTAAATTAAAAATATGCTAGTTCATCTGAGAAAACAAAAGAGTAAGCTTGTGAATACTCAAAATTATATATTTTATTGGCTAAAGTGGAGCTTGAAAACTTTGAAATTCTGAATTTTAAATCTGGTTCTCAGTTTAACAGTGGAAGGGTCACACTGAGTCCAACATTCCCTGGGGCTATGCACAGTTTTTTTCCTATATGACAGTCAGCCCTTTCCAGGAATGGATCCCTAATATGCTGCATGGTTTCACTTTCTCTTAAGTAAGCTGGCAAAAACAGTTGCTGTCTTGATCCCAAGGAATATTTTTACAGATCCAAAATATTTTCCTAGCTATTGTTTATTAATTGAAGACTTCTAGTGTCAGCTGAGGAAAATAGTGTGCGTGCAAAACAGTTCTGTTATTTTGTCTAAATACTTGGTGACTGATCAGCTTATTCTGTCTTTGCATCTTAAAAGAGAATAGAAGAAGTTACTATATGTTGAGCTTACCGTTTTGTATGCTGACAGTACAGGGGTTCTCAAAGGTATTTTTGGCATCAGAACAATCAGCCCGAGTTTTCCAAGTATTGCCAAAGGCAGCTGAAGTACCCTCTATTACACCACTGGTGGTTTTGAAATCATCTGTCTGCATGTCATTGAAGTTTCCACAGAGACCTAAAAGGAAGCAGATGGTCTGTGAAAGTGCCCTACAGAATGACACATACTGGTGAAGGCACTTGTTATGCTAAGGTCACTTACCACAGGTCTGCCCTTTATGTGAGGGGTCTAAGTCTATAAAAAGTTGCATGAAAGGCACAAGTTGAACCTGTAGCTGAAGACCAAAGGTTGTTTGCAGAATGATGAAGAAAGATGAAGGTCTGAAGATGGTGACATTTGCTAGGGATATAAGAACAAAAGAGTTATAATTTCATATGAGATGAGCATTTGAAATTATTGTTCATCACACAGAGGAATTCTACAGTTGTGTTTGATATGATCCTAATTTCTGAAGAACTGGGGGGGAAATGATCCATACAGGATTTCAAATCCAGCACCAGAACAGGCTAATATAAGCACCTAAACAACAGAGGTATACAAACCCTGCACTTTTTGTCAGGTGTTTTAAAATAAGGGGAAGAACACACACTTTCATTGCTATTTAAAAAGTTGCTTTTCCTTGGTGAAAATGATATAGCACTATTTAATGGAAGACTCCAGCCTGGTCCTACTAAGTCCTTTCATGGTTTGCTTTGTGTTCAGGTGCAGTAGTATCTGAGAAGAACTGTCATGAGAGAAACTCCAGAGATTAATGTGCTCCAGAGGGAACACAGGGAACTAAATGACTTGAGATACTGGAGTCCTGTTGCGTGTCAGATTTTTTCTTTCATCTCTTATGTCAATGTTTGGATCTGGAAGTGTGCAATGACACTGTTTCCTTGAACTGAATCTCCATTTCATTAGATATTTAGACCTTAATTTTGCTAAAATTGTAAGTTTTGAATAGGCACACCCTATTACATTAGAAGTGGGAGACTATGCTCTACTGCATTACTTTGGGTTTGCTGCAGTGTAATCAGAGGTAGAATTTGGCTTTAGATTAATTCATGTAATAACATTTTAAAGTAAAAAATGAGAAACATTACAGAAGTCTTCCAAAGGAACTTACCTGCTGAGAATGGCAGCTGTGTGTAGATCATATTCACAAATACACTACCAGAAGGTTGGATCACAATGTTCTGTCCACAACAAAAGGCAATTATTACCAAGCATATTTAGGAAAAGTAAAGTACTTTCAAAATATTTTCTAATACTGTTCAAGATGGAGGGGAAAAAAAAGTGGAGGGAGACTATGATGATGTTCTGATTTGTATATTATTTCTTTAATTTTATTACTGCGGTCCATTGACTGTCTAAAAAAGCAAAAGCCCAAAGTTATCTAACTAAGAAAACTACTAGGATCTTGTCTTCTAATGTACTTACTTTATTCTTAATTTTACTTTGAATAATGTTCAAATGAGATAAAAGGAAAAGTAAGTGCAGATTTCCTGTGTGTGCTGTTATGTGTCGTTTGCAAACTACTTGTCTGTTAAGCTTTGAGAACATCCCTGCAGAATATTAGGTGTTTACATTTGCTACTCACAGTTTGTCCTCCACTCAGGCTGATGGCTATACCCTTGAGGCACGTCTCAGTTTCAGTCAGGCCACACTTGTGGATGTCTCCCAGAACTGTGAATTCATTGCTGTCACAGAGCTAGAAGAAGAAAACAAAAGATACCAATAAATGGATTTGTTATATTAAAATATTGTTAACTTAAAAAAGTTCACACTTAAGTGGAATTCTTAGTAAAGTGAATCTTTCAAAATATTGTGTATTTAATTTCTTCTTGCTCACATGGTCTTACATGTATGTATACAGACACCAAGTCAGCTGGCATTCATGCAGTCTGCACTCTGGAAGCTATCTATTGTTCCTGACTTCAAGGGTGAGTTAGACATATTAAGCTGAACATTAAACTCCCTAAGGCTTAGGTAACAGTAGTTCCTAATGTTAAGGTAATACTAGTTTAATATGCTAGAGAAGAAGGACACGTGCCTTTCTTTCCCAGTGGTTATGAAGTTTACCAGGGACAGGAAAGAAATTGTTTCCAGTCTTCTGCACTGAGTAAATTATCAAGGACCTTGGTGATTTGAACATTCTTCAAACTGGTAGGAAATCATGCATTTAAATATTCTCTAACAGGAGAAAATTAAGCTAAAATCCTCATTCACTAAATTACTGAATAAAGGCAAAATTCAGGGTTTTTTTGTCTTGGTTCTGATTTTCATTGAACTGTGTTCTGTCATCCACCTTCAAAGAGTGACTAATGGCCAAGACTTAACAGGGCAACACTCAAAGAAGGCTGTGATTCTGAATTCGTCTTATCACTTCTTTGCCATAATGAAGACTAAATTGAGGATAGCTGATATGCAGAATTCCAGACATCTGGAAATTCAATATTAAATTTGTGGGCTTTTTGAACTTTTGAGTACAAATTTAGTGATTTTTCTCTACCTCCAGAAACCCTGAGAATCTAATTTTACATGTTGGTGCCAAAAAGAGGAGTTTAAAGTGTAAGTCTGATCTATGCTTCCATTGTGGATCAAGAACAATGCTTGTGAATCTCATTCAAAAGTTTCATCAATTTAGTCTAATGTAGTACTATAGTACTATCTAGTACTAATCTAAAGTACTCTAAAGTACTCTAGCTCCTCCCTCAGTTTTTATTATTCTCTTACTTGGTAACATTCAGACTGATCTTATTGATAACAGATTTGATTCAACATGAAGTCCTTATGAAAATAGTTAACATGACTCACCCAGTACAAATAAACCATAAAAATAGCTAGGGTTATGAAATCTAGGTATTTAGTATATCTACTAAAATCTAGGTATTTAATATGTCTGCTAAAAACTCAGTGCAATTCTTAAACAATGATCAAAGAACACAAAACCACTACAATATTATTTAGTATAACCCTAACAGACAGGCTCCATGTTGACCCTCTAAATTTCATAAAGTTGATGTGACTGCCAGTAATTTTCAACAAACAACCTTATATATAATAAAGACACTTTCCTTTAGCAAGGGTGACTCATTTTTACCTTGGTTAGGACATAGCTACAGTCTCCGAAGAAAGAGTAATGTTTCTCATCAAATGTTGAAATGTGAGAGCCTCCTTCAATACTGCAAGTCCCAGGGCATGACTGAGTGACACAAGACCATTCACCTCCAACACAGGTACTGAAATGAAGAAGGCATTCAGTAACCTTGGGTAATGCAAATGTAAATGAAATAGAAGACAATAAGGGCAGATGATGCCTCAGTTTTCCTCTTGAAACACTGATCATACTGTCAAAGAAACCAGTATTACTATGAAATATCAGAATAAGTGTGAGGCAGGCACATTTATATATTAATGATAATTTTATATATATATTGCTGTTCATTTCCAGTCTTTGGACAGAATTCAGTCCTGGTGAACCTGTCATGCATCCTTCTGCATATGAAGTATCACTCCTCATCTCCATTAGCATGGCTCAAGCTTCAAATATGTGAAGTTTTTCATGGAAAATAACATGGTTCTTGTGTTCATACATAGGTAGGTGCATTTGCACAGAGTTATGCAATAAAACTTCAGTAGTTACAGTGATATTCAAAAAATATAGGTAATATTTGCCAAATATGCCTCTCAAATGTGATCTCCCACTCTAAATGCAACATGTCCCTAAGCGTCATGCCCTCTATGGTATTTACATGAGCATCCTAATATTATACTGCAGTGCTGCAAAGGATGTAACACTAATTCACATTTTTAAACACCTCTGTTATTTGATTGTCTTCTTTTATTGATAGGTCTTGAAATTGAAGCATCTATTCAAAAACTTAAATTTTGCTTCCAAGTGTAAGGGGAAAACAGATGTGAACTGTCCTCTAAAACACTGTAATCAGGAAATTTCAATTGATAAGTAGTTCCTAATTTTTTTAAGGGGAAATTAGTTATTTTTCCCTGTCTTTGGAATATTCAGATAGTGCACCTAAAAGAAAAGACACGTGTGAAAGTATCTTACCATGATCTGCATTTAGATGAGAAGGAGGCTCCAGGAGCATAAGTTTCACCTTCATAGGTGCAGTGGCATTCTCTACGGGGAATGCAGCCAGCACCATTAACGTCATCAAACACCATTCCTAGGAAAAGAAATGGTCTGTTACTCATTCTGTGCACTGCACAGCCTGCCTTTGACCACATATCTAGCAGATGCCTGAGAATATGCCCCATTTCTTCTGTATTACACAGTACTTTAAAATAATAGGATGCAAGCTACTATCCAAAATCCTAGGGTGATCAAAAGAGACCTCTAGGGAAATACGTTTCTGTTATGGACTTCATTAGAATGGAATTAGGATTAAAATTACTAGATAATGAGGTGGATTAGATGAACCATTTGTAAGACTGCCCAGGGACATATTTGTACAGTAAATATTTTTGTGCCCAGAGACAGAGGATTGTTTAAGAGAAGTCAATGCCATTACACAAACAAATGATGGTGAATTCTGTGAGACAACATGAGAATAGGCAGAAGAACTGCAAGGGGTGAAGATCCTACCATACAGTCACTCACAACAGCAACAAAGTGTGCACAAAGAAGACACACTTGCATTGTTTGTCTTGTACTTATACTCAGGTCTCATACATAATTCTCTGAAGCACCAAATTTTACACACTGCCTGGTGCTCTCTCAGCTCCTTGTTGTTTAGACACTGAGCACTTGACAAGAAGGAGATTTGGCGAACCAGATGCCGCTTTGCTAACAGCAGGAGTTATCATTGTGTGCAAAATCTGATTAAAGATTTCATACTTTCTGGGAACTGAATCTGAATGCTCTTGTTGTTAGGAACAAATTATCTTATTCTCAGTTCAGTCATTATATACATGTCTTCTCAATGTTTGTTATTTAAAAGGGCATATTTAATAATCTGAATAGAAATAGAGCATGTATATGAAGGAAGAAATGTAGCTTTTCTTTTGATGATAATTACACTGGTGTCATGATGAGAATGATACAGAATGCCAAAGTTGTTAAATGTATACAGGTGAGTATTCTAGTGGGTTTGGCTGTGAGAACAGGGCAGGAAATAAACTTGCCTGGAGGACAGACGCAGCCATCTGTACAATGGTCTTCACAAAGTGCAGATCGTTCCGGGTTGCTGCACGTGTCAGAGCAGGGAGAGCCACACTCGTGGTATTGCATGTTGAACGGACATGATTTGGCTAAAAGTAGAAAAAGTATTATAAAGCTGGCTTTTCCCCCGAAAGGCTGAGAAAACAGTATTTGCAATTTAGGATCTTTTCTGTCAAGATATGATGGGGAATCCTGATCCAAGTGGAGACCAAAACATTTTAGTTTTTCTGATATATATTAAAACTGTTCGTAAGGAAAATCCCCTAAAATTCCATATTCCCAAAGTCTTGAGTATGATCAGGTTGAAACTGATTTCATGATAATTGTATGCACCTTTAAACAACTGTCTTTTCAAGGAAAAGACCTCACATATTTGGAGTTTCATAGATGTGGGTAATAAGCACAGGTGGAAGTCCCTTTCTTAGATACTTACGACACAGTTGTGAAGTTCTCCAGTTCAGAGGCTGTCCACCTGCGTGAGCACACTGCCGGGAGTATTCAGCAAAAGTGTTACACATACAGAAGTCAGCCATAGAACTGTCACAGTGGCAAAGGTCTTGTATGCAAGTTTCGATGTAGTCCTGAACATTGACAAGCATGTTGCAACTCGTAAATGCTTTACTGGTTAATACTGTCTCACAGATAGAAGCCTGGGAAGGAAAACAGAGAAGGTAAACAAAACATTTAGAAAATACGAAACTAATTATTTAAGGCTTGTGGCAGAACAAATCAAGGATCCATCCAGTCCACAAAACCTGTACAACAGTAGCCATAAGCAGATATTTAGGGAAAAGTATATCAACAGGGCAAGAACATAAAGGAAATCCTTTAGTTAATTCTAGTATCTTCCGTATCTTGAGTTACTTTCACCTCAGGTGACTTCCCAAGCCTTATACAATTTCTTTATATTAAGATATCCTCAGTGATTTTCTCTTTTGGGAAAATATGTAGTGTTGTCTTAGATAGGGAACTTTTTAGCATTCACTTTGGCATGTTTTTTCCCTTCTAACAAATTTTCTCCAAAGATAGAGAGAGCATATTTCACACTGAGAAGAAAAATTTTGAGAGAGAGGTTCTTACAAATTCTGCTGAGCAGTTCATCTGAACAGTAGAAGGAATAGGATCATCACACTGCTCTGTGGGTCCATCCATCTTCTGCCTATTACCAAACTGTATGGGAGTTAGTTTTGTCTCTGTAAAAAACAGTTCAAATATTAGAACAATGTTTACTGGTTTTTTGCATGGAAATGTTTTCTTTTGTGATCCTACCTGCTATCACATGAACATTGATTACCAAATAATATCACTATAGTATGAAAGGTAAAAGAAGGTGAACAAGGAACTCAACCCAAAGTATTGCAAACAAGTTTTATGTGGCAGGTCTTAACACATCTAACAGTGATGGAAGCAGTCTAATACATCTCAAAGCCCTGGCTATGCATAACTGATATCATAGAAATACATGAAAAAGTATCACTAGTTTTGCAGTTAATACGACCCACAAGCTACGTTACAGTATATTGTAAAAGAAAAAAAAACAAGCACCAATACTTAATAATGCTTTTTATTACTTACTCCCTGAAATAAATTCATCGTTAACTGGAATTCCATTGAAGTCCCCACAAAGTCCACAAGTCTGATTGGCATATTTCTTATCTAGTTCCACCTAAAAGAAATGAGGAAAGAGGTTCATAGAAATGTCAGTCTGGATGGTTAGGAGCACAGCCTACATCAGTATTGCTTGTGTACTCAAAAATTGACATATGTTTACTGTGTAGACTGTGTTGTGTGATAAGAAGGTAGGCATCACTGGAAAGGTCAGTGACAACCAAGAAAAACTTGCTCTTCTTCTAGCCCTGGGTTGTGAACATCAGTACATTGCCAGGTCTGGAATCTGAGGATTACTTCACTGTGAGGAGAAAATATTATAATCGGGGGTCTATTGACTCTGAGCTGAGATTAGTGGGGGAAAAAAGGGAAAATTAGGAGAAGACCGGAAAAACAATACACTAAAAATGGACACAAATTCAAAAGCAACTAATGTCTACATGACTGATTAATACTGCAAAAACGTAAACAAACTATTTTCAAAATACAGACTTTCTGCCATGTTCTGGATGTTTTCTTACCAGGAGGGCATCCTGTTCATTCCAAAGGAAGGTCAGTCCTAACTTGGCAGAAACTTTCAGATAGTTGTTACTTCTCTCTATCAAGACTCCCATATGGCTGTAGGGCATCTGAACCCTGGGGAAAGATCACCAGAAGTCAGCAGGGGTAGGGACAGAATATTCATTGAATATCCACACTGCCATTCTTTCTTATTCTCTTTGAGAATTTTCAGCATCCATCAGTGAGGAAATCAAAGCAGTAGCTAAATACAGACAACACAGGTTTGTAACATCTTGGCTGTTTCCTGTGCAGTTGCTTCTCATTGTGCAAATGGATCAGCCCTGTTGTTCCTTTTGGCTTTCTCTCAAGAGTGTTTTTTTAGGTAAAATGTTGGTGTATGTTTTTGGTTGTATGGTTCAAAGAAGTGCTAGGAGACTCTGTTTTGCAAGCAATATGCTTCAGGTCTTAAAGCATTTGATGATAAAGGGATGGACTCCAGGCTTTCTGTGACATGAGTGACATTCAAAAAGCTGTACCCAAGATAACCTTTACACTAGCTTGTTGTACATAGCTGCTATAATAGACAACTCACAGTGGGATAGCTGCCCAAATATTTACTTGTCCTTTTCTACAGGTTGCACACCCTATGCCAAAGTCAGTGCTATAATTGCTATATAGATTGCAAGTTTCCAGAATAGATAATTTTAAATTAACTCAGATATAAGCTGCAGCCACTGCTTTACTGCACACTGTTCGGTGCAAAGACAAAAGCTGTCAAAAACTCCTCTCAAGAATTCTGTTCTAGTAACATTAATGGAAGGTAGGTTTTGCACCTTTAAGTTTCTAACACTTTGACTGAATCCAGCTTATAGACTCAGTTGTACATATACATACACAATTGTAGAAGTGGGCCATCATATGGAACATAGTTCATCTGAATAAAATGGACACAGGGATAATGTACAGAAGTGGCACTTAGCTCACTGTCAAGCCCTCGTTTTTGTTAATACTTCAGGAAAGACCTGATCCTTCCAGCTGCTTGGAAGCAATGTCAGATCAGATAAGGGAAAGGGTTCACTGGGATCAACAGCAGTGATGACAGCTGCAAGTTATGAACATACAATTTGTTGTCTAGCCGGACAGAGCCACGGGTCAGTTCAATCACTGCTCCTTCCAGCTTCATGATGACGTGAGTGATCACGGTAGCATTTTCCGCCATTGTACGTCTAATCTGGATGTTGAAGTCCTCATAGGAAGACTTGCAGTTGGATGCAAAGATGTAATTACAGACTCCAGGGAAGTAAAAGATGTCCCCATCAAAGGTTTTGAAGTGGAAGTTACCCCATGTGCTGCACACACGGCCATTGTGAGAGGGGTTGCCAGCTGTGGAGTCAAAACAAGCAGTATGAATTTCCTGTAATTTGCTGTAATACCCTCCCTTTAGATGCCTTTCCCCTCCTAGGTCTTTCACTAGTCTCTGTCTCAAAAGCCCATTTTCTGTTTTTATTCTTGTCATGCTATTTGCTCATCATAATTTTTTTATTTAGTTCAGTTACTTTTTGTGTTTAATCTGTTTTGCATGGAGAAGGAGACCTCCTGGGTCACTAGACCCAATGCTCTGGTTCTGTCAACACCCATATCCTTTAAATCCTTTTGTAAATGTATGAAGTTCTAAAGTTTCACCATAAACCCAGTTTAAAGTTAGTTTAACACCAATTCATACTCTTACTAGGGAAGGCCACTCATACCTGCAACCTTTGAGTGACTGAAAGACTTTTGCCGACATCTTCCAAACAATATTCCTGTCTCATATATGCCTGGTTGTTCTTGTGCCAAAATTACACTTCACCTTGAAGGGGTTTCACCTGCCTACTACTCCTCCCACCAATTATAGAAATCTCTTGTCTCTTTTCAGTCTTCATTTCCTTACAAGCAGCTCTTCTATCTCCCTGATAATCTTCACAGTCCCTTCCTGCATTTCTTCCACATTTACACTCACCCTGCTTGAATTGTACCCTATACCCTAGATAAGATGTCTCCACAGTGTTTTCAGCATATTAGTATTTTTCTCTCTTTACTGGAAATATTGTGCATGATTTTTCCCATTATTGCATATATAAATATATGTTTAATTTTTTTCTTTACAGCTGCATTATGTAAACACAATGAAGGTGAAGCACTGGATTCACAGTTAGATTATCTGTGTTACTTGGGGAACTGATGACTTTTCCGTTTGTTTTTTTTTTTTGTTTTTACAGTGCTAAAGGGACTTACAAGAGATCTATTGATCTCTTCAGTCACTCCATGCTCTACCTGTGTGATCAACAAGAACACAGATATCTGTGCCAAGACATTTGGTTAACTTACCCTTTACTTTCAGTGTGTTTTGAAAAGGTGGAATGATTGTCACTTCTTGGGATTTGAAAGCTGGTAGAAAAGCAAAAGGAGAAAAAATGACCAAGTTTAATCTTATTAGAATGCTACAAAATGGATAGAGATAACGTAGCCTTTTTAGTGATGAAAATTTCCTATTACTATTTACTCTCTGTAGGGAAGTTTCCACAAGGTTTTATTGGTGGTTTTTACACATTGCTTTGTGATCTATCTTTCTATAAATTTCACTGACAACTAAATTCCAAAGACTATGCTCTTTGGCTGTAGTACTTTCTATCATTATTTGTTCAAGACTCCCATCTGATCCTGGCCCAGGTTCTGAACTCAGAAGCAACAGTATGATCCTCAGCTATTGTTAAATAATTTGTGGTACACTTCTTGCAGGACAGACTTAGTGATCAGTTGTTTCAGCCTGCCGACGCTAATATACCAGTCAGCCTTGTATCCTTCCACCCTTATTTTCCTCTGTACAGTTATGTGTCATGCATGATCTTGTAGTGCTTAATTATGCTAGCATTTAAGGTAGTTACAGTTTCCTTATTCTCTCATGAGTAATGCAGTCATCTTGACACAGTGTAAAAAAAGTTAAAATGTGTCCTTTATTGCCTACTATCAAGTACCCTGGTGATACGTATGTAAACACACACCTCTTCTGAAAATACACTTTCAGATAGAAGGTATGTACCTTTCCTGAAGTTAAAGATTAGATAACTCTATCATATCAGTAGAGCAGATCCACTGGCCCAGATCTCATAGGAAGTTCTCAAGTTTAGAGCAGTCAGAGATCGGGTATATTGTACAGAGGACTTCTCTTTTAACGTGTGTGGTATTCTAGCTAGGACTAAAAACATTCTAGTAATCTTATTATTTATCAACTTGATTTGGAACAAAATCTTAGAAATAGATCAACATAAAAATACTTACAGTTTTGTCGCTGCAGGATAGATGGAGAAATATACTTTGTTTGTTGTTCACCATCTTGGGCTTGAACTGCATCAAGAATGGTAGAAATGTTAATGTCTAATTTTCTTGAGCTCCCTCAATTTCTCAATTACATCTGTTTTAACATGTAACAGTCAGTATATATATAAAAAAAAATCAGCAAAGATATGCTCATGTACAGGTCAAATTTGAATCAGGATCTGGGCTGCGTGCAACCATGATGGCCAAACACCAGTCCTTCAGCTTTTCCTTTTTTTTTGGTATGTTTTTATTTTTTGACTAATAAATTACTGCAGGGAAGCCATCAAAAACATGCCTGTGGTAGTTTGAGCAGATCCTTATTCTGTTACTGTCACAATGTACCCCTGCATTCCCTTATAAGCTTTTCAGATAAAGAAATTAATTTTCTTAGGTTTTATGGTCACTCTATGCTTTAAGCATCAGTAAAAGCTTTTTTCTAGGCAGAGTGCTTTAAAATTTCCTTTTGTACAGGAAGAATTCATTTTAGGATTATAGGACATATCTCTGGCCTCTCTTACTCAGTTACTCTGTATTTTACAGTTTCAGGCACTCTTTGTGAAAAGCAGCAGAAGAAAAATAAACACAAAAGCCACACAGAAAGAAATAGGTCTTTCCAATACATACATTTGTGCCTGTTGATTTTGCCCCAAAGCAAAACTTTTTGTTTTCAGCAAAGAAGCCATTTTTCATTCCATTCTACTGCAGCATCACAATAGGAATAATTACATTATCTGCAGGGACCAGAGGGGCTTTGAATACACTGCTTAGTAAGAGTTCCTCACAGGGCATGTTGCAGTGGAGATTATGCTGGCCAGAGAAAACCAAAAAGGCAGGCTCACCTCCTGCTGCACCCTGCAAGGGAAGTCTGTGAGCAGCACCACTAGAGGGGCTTAGGCTGAAACTAGAATTGTAGAGAGCTCTGCAAGTCCCTTTTAGCACTACCCAGGGGTCTGCAGTGGTGTTGGAAGGACATGCTGTGCCTATTTTTAAGGTAGGAACCATTCAGTGCCTCTGGGCTCCTCCTCTGCCCAGCCTCAGAGAGCTTTTTGCTTCTCTCTCCATGCACTGTATGGCTCCATTCCACATGCATTGCAGATCCCTGCTTCCATTGCATGGTGTGGTAATGCTACAGTTAGTCTTTTGATGGGCTTTTCCATGACACTACCACTTTTTAACATAAGTTAGTATGGAATTGCCTAGGAGTAGGAAAAATATAAAATCATACAATAGGATCTGCACCTGAGATCAAAATGGAACACTAATATTGTTGTTACCTTAAACTTTAAGGGAAATTATCTCATGAAAAAATAATTTAAAAAATGTAAAAAGTTAATCCACCTCTGACTATTAATGCCCTCTTAGAATACTTAAAGTCGCTTCACTTGCTTTCAGCCCATTGCAAACCAACCCTGTGTGCTCAGCTTTTGTGCAACCTCACGGGCAAGAGTAAAAGAATTGTTAAAACCTATTGTCAAGTGATTTTCAAGCAAAACCCTCCCTTTTTCAATACTGTGCCATCAGCTGATAAACAAAATCTTTAATAATGCATGCAGACAATCTCATCCACTGACTTGGTCCTTTCTGGAGGTACTTTTGCACCTTTTGGTCTGTGCATTTAGAAATGCTGTACCACCTTGAAATGGACATCAAAAGCTAAATGCAAATCTTGAGGCATTTTTGTAGAAATGTAAGTTCTGAGTGAGTTCCACTGAATGCAGGGGAGCTGTTCCAGATTTCAACTGGAGAAAACAGGACAGCAGTTTGAAAAGAGGTAATTTCTTCTTCTTACAAAGGAAAGTATTCATAACAGAAAAGAAAATCTTGCACAAATGTAACAGGTTCATTAACTTCACAAAGCCAAGGAAAAAATGTTTCAAAGTCCAAAGCAAGCTATAAATTCTTTAAAACAGTAAAAATGCCAAGAAAGTGAATCTTCCTACCTTTTATCTGTATGAAGAAAAGTGCTAGTATTGATATCCATAGTGGTATTCTAGTCCCACCACCTCTGTCCATCTTCTGGAAGTCCGGTAGAAGCTACCGAACAACCTGCCTCTGAGGAAATACCTCTCTGTTCCCGAGTCTTATATACTGAGAGAGGAGGTTTTGGCTCAGTTCCCAGATTGTTTCACAAGGTTCTTAAAAGGTGGGGCTTCAGACGTTTTAGTTTTCCTTTGCAGGTGCACAGGTAAATAGAGGATGCTCTGACTTTCCCTCAGGTATTTACACTCTAGGAGGAGTCTTCTTTCTACAGGTCTTTCTGACAAAATGTCAGGAAGTGAGCAGGAAGAATTTTTGCTTAGGTTTAGTCTTTCCAAATTGTTGTACATTATGAGATAAACACAGTTTAAGGGACTTTTAAGTGACTTTTGAGCAGGAACTTGGAGTGAATTACTTCACTTTTTTTTTTTTTTTCCTCCTTATGGTAAATAATGGTAATTAACTTCTCAAGAAAACTCAAAGAAGTTCCACCTGGTACAAATTGGTTTTAATCAGTTTGCACCTGCCTATGTAGCTAGTTTGCTTGTGAAAATGGAGAAATCAAGTGCCATCTAAGGTCTGCATTTCTCCCACTGGCCGGGCACAACATAAATCTACATAATGAAGATCCTTCAGCATTGGAGAGTCAGTAATATGGACCTCTCCCTGAGGGACCACTCTTCTCACATGGGCAGTTGTAGTGCTATTTCAGCTGTTTCCCTTCTGAGTAAATATGATTTCACCATTAAAAATTAGATTGATTCTATCTAAAAAAAAAAACACAAAAAAACCCCAAAACAAAACAAAAAACCCGTGATGATTGCTAACCCTAGAGACACACAAATAGAGATACAAAAAGACTGATTTGAAAGAATATTCCTTATCTTAGGAACAATGAGAGAGTGAACAATGCCTTGTGAGTGTGTTAAAATAGTTATTTACAGCTATATTACTTGGTGAATTAACCTTTTATAGTGTTTTACCCTGGGATGCAGAGAAACACAGTCTCTCAGTAGGAGAATAAATCCCATAATCCCACATGGCTTCAAACATTTCTGGCAAGGAAGAAGTTACTGGGATTGTTTCCATATTCCATGGTTTTCTATTATTGTTTTCTGAAAAATAATCATGGAATCACAGAATCATGGAACTGTTTGGGTTGAAGGGACCTTAAAGATCATCTAGTTCCAATTCCCCTGCCACGAGCAGAGACAACTTCCACTAGTCCAGGCTGCTCAAAGCAGCCCCATCCAGCCCAGTCTTGAACACTTCCAGGGATGGAGCATCCACAAATTCTCTGGGCTACCTGCTCCTGTGTCTTACTACTCTCACGAAAAGGAATTTCTTCCTAATATCTAGTTGAAATCTACCCTCTGTTGGAACAGTTAGGTTTGAGGAAGTAGCTTCAACACTAAGAAAGAAATAAAAGGCCCGATTTATCCCTGAGCAGCAAACAGAAGCAAGAAAATACACTGGTTGTCCTGAACATTTTAAAAGTACAACTGGTTATTAATATTTAAATAAAGGTGACATAACAAAATGAAATTGGAACTGTTGAGGAAAAGAATTGTTCCATTTCAGTCATGAGTTATATCTCTGGCAATTTCATTGATGCATAAGTCTGTAGAATTTACCTTAGCATTATTTAACAAGGAAAAGATGTCTACAAGATACTTGTATATATGGAAATACATGCAGTGAAAATTTAAGGAAATATCATTATCTTTAATGGTTATTATCGAAGCTCCAGGATGAAGATCTAGAAAAAATAAAAAAATTTAGCAGATAGAAATGGTACATAATTAGAGTAATTATAAAGTAGTATGGTAAACTCAGGTGGGTAACACACATAAGCATAGTAAGAGATTATGTTGGTAGGAAGAAAAATATGCTTTATGAATCATTACATTGCTTAGCACTGAAAAATCAGTTCATAACAACAGTTGCTATGCTGTAGTTTCGTATACATTTCCTGCATGTTTAGGGAAGCACTGTGATCTCTGAGAGATCCCAGTTTGGTCATCACAAATTAGGCTGAAACTGGTTTACAATTAAATTTACCCCCTTTAATTGAGCTTTAAGACATCATCAAAAGTTGTTTCCCTATGTCTGTATTTTTTACTTCTGAAATCTCATATATATCATGAATCATGTTATCCTTTCACTCTTAAGTGGTTAATTCATTGATTAACTCTCTTGCCATAACTTAAGATAACTTCCTTATCTTGTGCTATTTCTTCTAAGAAATTATTATAAAATGTGTCAAAATATACTAGTTTTGCAAAAGTAATCTCAAAATATTTATGATAAATTAATTTAGTAGTATTACTATTGTTCAAAGATACAATTCCTCTTCAAATTGTATCTCACCTCCATTCACGCAATAGACATACACCAGTGATATGGGAGAGTATTTTTCTAAGACTGGTGTGGGGTAACATGTCCAATTTGTGTAACTATTTATGATCAAATCTGTACAATTGACTGCATAAACAGAAATATTAGTATATTACAAAAATTTACTGATATAGCTATTTTTAATTTTTTTAACAGAAAAGATAGAATATTTTGAAATCACATTTGATCTGAAAACCCTGACACTTCTTTCTATATTTTCTCTTCCTTTTTCATGGGGTCATATTCCTAATCTCTGCAATATTAAATTGAATTAAATATTAATTCCTAACATCTGCAATATTAAATTGAATTAAAAATTTCAGTAGAAGAGTTGCTGGCATTTTCAGAACAATTCTTTTTAGTCCTGCATGATCAAATGCTACATGGTGATGATATTAGTTCCACATCTTACTCATGATTTCTGAATCTCATTCGTCATAAGAAAAAATTAGACTATCATGTCTTATTTTCATACAGTGAGTAGAATGTAAATAAAATGTCATGGCAAATTTGGTTAACTTTCAGGTACAATAATGATTGAAATTGATGTCTCCATTTGTAGTTAAAAAAGACAGAATGATGGACTCAGAGCCATGCAAAAGGTGTCTAGTCCACCTAGTGTCCTCTTGGAGCAGGGACTATTCATATCAAGGGAAGGATGAGAATACCTGTACTTGATAGGAATTACTCTGTGCCAAGGCTAAAATGCAAGTTAATGAGGAGTTGTCTGCTTGGCTTTTCTCTGGTCATTTGGCCACTTCCGAAGCCGTGTTTAAACTCTGAAATGGTGTTGGGACATTTGGCATTGCATTCAGTTGAAGTAC